TAAAACTTACCTTTGTATCACTAACAACAGCAAACCTAAATTGCAAAATGAGCACATAATGTATGCAGTTAATAGGATGCAGTATGTCTTATTAAAAGTCATAGTACTTTCATAGTCATGTTTGGTTATATTCTCTATGAAGCACAGGCTTTTCCTGGCCATTCAGACATATGTTTGGTATTTGTTTGGACCAGTTACCAACCAACCCTAAATGCCATGATCCTCAAGTATTGGTGGGAACTCAAGATATACTCCTCCACTAGACTGAGGAAATAGACATCAAACCTCGTCATATTGCCTTAGGTCAAGAGCTCTCCTTTGATGGTCTCTTGTGCTGGGAGACAGGGTACTACAGAACATTACCCCCCAACACTTGGCACCATATTGACTTTGGTATTGTTAATCTCCCTTGTTCTGCCAGTGTGGTTTATGTAATTGGATGCGTATTAAAACCCACCCCTAGCTAGCTGTGTCCTGTGGTCAGAGAAGTCACCACACTGCCATAGTTGCTGATTCCCTTTCATTTCTGCTGACCCTGATCTCACTTCTTAGACAGCCTAACTACTGGAGAAGCAAGATAGATATGAGTCATGATATAGGTTGGGTGATTCCATAAAGGTTTTTGAAGATAAATATTTAGTCTCACTGATCCTTACCCCATCTGGAGGAATTGTTTTATATGGTATAAAAAGAGCCCTTGAACTTGGGGTTAGAAGTCCTGGGTACTTACACAGGCTGTCTCAAAGAGTTCTTATGAGAATCACATGAGATAATATATGTGAAAACAATTTTTACCTGTAAAGGGCTATATCAATGTACATTCCTATAATTATTGAGGGAGAGGTCCTTGACACAATGAACTAAAATAAATCCTCTCAGCCCTTCCCATAGTCTCTCATAGCATTCATGCAATAACTGTTTTGGAGTCTCTACTGTGTACAAGACAGCAAGAAACAGCAGCTCAGGGGCAGCTAGAGCAAGTCATTTAACCCTGATTGCCTCACCAAAAAGCGAAAGAAAGAAAGAAACAGCAGCTCAGTTTGCAGAGCACTTCCTGTACATTATATCATTTGAGTCGCACAACAACCCCTTGAGGTAGAAACTACAGGCATTATTGCCACCATTTTATTTTTTAATTTTTATTTATTTATTTATTGGTGAGGCAATTGGGGTTAAGTGATTTGCCCAGAGTCACACATCCTAGTGAGTGTCATGTGTCTGAGGCCAGATTTGAACTCAGGTTCTCCTGATTCCAGGGCTGGGGCTCTATCCACTGTGCCATTGCCACCATTTAAAAACCGCTGTCAGTTGCTGATTCCCTTTCATTTCTGCTAACCCTGATCTCACTTCTTAGATAGCCTTAGACAGAAACTGAGGCTGAGAGAAATTAAGTAACTTGCCCATGATTACACAGCCTTTCAGCGTCAGAGGTGTGATTTTAACTCAGGTCTTCCTGACTCCAAGACTTTCTTCACTGTGTTATACTGCCTTTCATTCTCTTCCCAAGAATATCCTAGAGAAACATGGGATCAAGGGGCTCCAGCCCTAGCCATTAAGCTATTCACTCAGCTATTAAGGCTACAGAACTAGAGTAAGATTCCTTCACAACTAGTGGGTGGTCCTTCCCCAGAGAGCCAGGGAAATCTCAACCAACACACACATCCATCCTCACTGTAGCTTCTCCCTAGTTCTTTGCTGAGAGCATCCAGCTCTCACCAGTCCCCACCCCTGCTTTTTTGCTTTCCTGCTGCTGTAAATAATTTATCTGCATTGTGAGCAGGTGTTCAACAGAAAATGGGTGTGTAACACACACACTCCACTGCCTACATAAACACTTGTTTCTCTCACTCTTACTGTCAAACACTTTGAGACAGACTCATCTCTCACTTTTACTTGGCTCAAATCCTCTTGTCCAAGCTGTCCTTCATCACTTTCTCCCTCTCTCCCTCATGCTCCTCTTCCATGGCCTCTCTCCCCTTTTTGTTCTTCCTAAAAGGATATTTAATCTCTAACATTCATATTCTCTTCCCCTTACCCCAATATCTGATTGCTGGTCATCTCCTCCTAGGCAAGGAAAGGAATGACCCCAGATCTATCTCCCAGCCAGAGAAACAGTCGTGAAATCTCTGAGGACCTCACCACCCACTGAATTTCACTAGTCCGAGGCTGTTGTTAAGCAGATGGGAATCCTTTTTTACCAATCCCTAATTACTACCACTTGTCCAACAACTAAGCTTGTTTTGTTTTGTTTTGTTTTGTTTTTTGATTTCCCAAAGCACCCCAGGCACAGATCACTGTGATTTAAAAACAACAACATTTAATCAAGGTACTTTTTATGAACATTTCTAATTTGTTCATACCAAAAGTTGCAAGTAAGTTAGTCTCATTAGTGGAGTCCAATTCTGTTTTATCCTCAGTTTCCCCTCAAAATCAAAGCTATGTCAGTTCTAAAAGTAGCTTGTTTAATTAACCTAGAGATCCTAATTTTGATGGTTTTCTTTTTTTTCTTTCATGATCCTATAACAGTACTGCTGCACATACAAATCTAGTGTGGCCAAGGAAATTGAGCCATTTCAGGTAAGAAAAATACAGAATCTCACAGAGCTCTTATTCAAGAGATAAGACGACTTTGTGCTGGTGAATACTTGTGAAAATCTTTATCAGAATCCTTTTTAAAATGAACTGCAAAGATCATTACAGGGGTATCATTAACAATTGAGATTTTTAAAATAGTGATTATTTTTTAATTGTAAAGAACAATAGGGTATAGAAAGAAAGGGGGCATTGAGAGGTTAGGATATTTAATATTCTGATACAATATTAATAAGTCAGATAACTTTTGGGAGCATCCATTTCTGGTTGGCTGGGCTTTGTTTAATAAATTTTAATATTCCTTCCCACAAAGCCCATAGGAACCTACTTGTATGCACTGCCTTTCTTTTGCCCCAGTGAGCCAGTCTTTAACAAGTGAATTTGATATGTTCTTCCAAAGTTGTCTATACTTTGTCTTCCCACTGCATTGAAGTTCTCTGAAGAAGAGCATGACACTGGTAAATCTAAGATTGCATAAAAGACAAATCTAGCATTTCCTAACTGGAAGAAGGAAGTATATAGCCCCCCAAAGTCAAGACTCCTGAGTTTCATTTCTAGTTCTGCATCTTATTTGCAATCTGATTGGTGACTGCCCCTCTCAGCGTCTCAGTTTTTCCCACTGTAATATAGGTAATTGTTTTGTTAAAGATCCGTTTGAGCAATGTAGCTAATGATATGAATTCAGTAAGTGAATCAGTGATTCACTGAGACAACACTCATTCATGTGAATGTCCTTGCCAGGTGAGAGTTGTTGACAGAATTCACTCCACTGGCTAGGGCATCTCCTTTGAACTACATAGATATCTTTAAAGAATTTTTAAATTGTGATTAAGGACATTTAGATGCTCAGAAGAGAGATGTTTCACGGGTTTTGTTTTTGGGTTTTTTAGGTATTCAGTTTCCAGAGATGTGAATCCCTTAAATGTATCCCTGAATTTGTTCCTAAATCTTTCTTCAACATATCCAGTCTACAAAAGTCAATGCTATTTATGCTCAGTAAATCTCTGTTAGCCAATTCTAAAAAGAAACAACTTGAAATTATCTATTTTAAAAACAGAATGCTTGAAAAAAATCTTTCTTCTTCTACTTGCCAAGATCCCAAATTCAGGAATCTGGGTTTCCTTGGTAACAACTGATAGCAGAGCAAACACTAAGGCAGAAATTTGCATCACTCTTGCGCAGGTGATGTCATCATCTGTTACTGGGGACAGCACAGAAACTTATGGTTTCTAGTCTCTAGTCCAACCATGTATGTGAAGAATTAACAGTTTCCAAGTGTTGGTTGAAACAGTTAAGGCAATGCAAAAAAAGATCTGGCTGCCATTTGGTTATATTCAACAGCTTATGATGGATCAAAGTTTGCAAAAAGCAAAGAAACTTAGAGACCAAGATTAAAATGAATTCCCACCTCCTTTTCCCTCATTTCTCTGTATCAAGCTGAATAGCCTCTCCTAGCTGGTATGGTAGAACATAATGCCGAGAAAGTGGCAGGATCAGTGGAGATATACAATGTAATGTCTTTTTTTTCCTTCCAAGTTAACATCATTAATACCATGGGAAAATGGTAGTTGTCAGGTTACTTCTTACCTTAAATCAACTAAATGAAACGAGTCCAAAAAATGGAAGCAACAGATAATGGGAGTGATAAGTTGACCAAGATGAGAAGTAACAAATAAGATGCGTTCATATCTGTGTATGCATGTATATGCATGCAAGAGGGATTGCAGGAAGGAATTAGAGATACAGCCACTGACTACAAGAAGTATTGGCTTGTACATGAGTGATCTTAAACTATGCCAGGGGTAGGACTGTACTTTGGATGAGAAGTAGGAGTGACATGTTACTGACTAATCCAAGAGTCCTCCTAAAGAAGGAGGAACCCATTTACTTTAGACACTCGAATACAGATATGTTAAAGATATCCACACCCTCACCCTAGTAGTTGTGAGGCTTTCTTTTGGTCAAATGGGCTCTGTGCCTAGAATTATGGAACTCTGAGGCAGAAACCAGGCCATTTCTGCCATAGAATTTTTCAGCTGGCAGAAATTGGATTTAAGTCCTGAGGTCTCTGCCAGTTTTAATAGAACAGAGCTCCTGGAACTCTGAACTAAGTTGGATTTAGGAGCAAGAACTTATGTCAGCCGAGAACCAACTTCAGTAACAGATGGCATGTGTCCCTTTCACTGATTGATGATCTCTTTTGGATACCACATTGAAACCCATTTGGCTGAGTGTAGCATTCTAATAGGATGGAAGGTTATTGAGAGCTTGGACTATGTCACTTTTATATTTGTAATCCCAGTGCCAGAGATAAAGTAGGTATATATAGTAGGTGCTTAGTAAATGCTTGTTGTTTCACTGTGCCTAGCCAGATGACCAGATGCCTCTGCTCTTTTGCTCATAGAATCATGGGAGTGTTGATGTCCAAACGGCAGACAGTGGAGCAGGTTCAGAAGGTGAGCCTGGCTGTGTCAGCTTTCAAGGATGGGCTACGGGATAGGCCTTCTCTCCGGCGTACAGGTGAATCAGCTGGTTCTCGGAGGGGCACCGTAGAGCACTCTGTCCAGGAAGTACAGGAGGAAGATGAGCCAGAGACAGTGGCCGCTGTCTCACAGGAAGAGAACACTGTCAACAAAGCAGCCTGGGAACGGCTAAGGGATGGCCGTGGGGTAGAACCTGAGGAGTTTGACCGTGCCAATCGCTTCACACCACCTGCCTTTATCCGACCTATTCGGGAACTAAATGATGACAAGCCACTTGATATCTGCTTGGAACCTAGAGAATCTGTAAGTTCTAGAGTGAGGCAGTAGAACTACAGGGGAAGGGGGAGAATGAGCAATATATGAGTTTACAGAGTAAATGGTAGGCTGCCTGGAGATCAGATAGCAGGACTGTGAGCCCTGGGATGTGAATGAAAAAGCATTAAGAAAAAAAGATAAGATTCAACCAACAGATAGTCCTTAGTCCGAAACAAACTGATTTAGCTTTTTCTGTCTGAGTCCAGATATAACTGACCGAGCTTGTTCTCATTGTAGGAAAGTAGCTTGGCAGGGGGACATAGAGAGAAGGGTGAAACGGGGGAGCCACTGCATATCCATCTATCCCTTCTACCATATGATAGCATGTCAGCTGGAACAGTGTACCCCTCTTCTGGTTCAGAATACCAGAGTTTGTTGGCTGTCATCCCCAAGATAAGAGTTGCCTCTGTTGCCTTGACGCTGACTGATTTTGTCTGTATACCCAAAGTGTTCATTCTTTAATGGTCTGACCAAGAAATTTAGGTGTAAAAGTTAAGGCTTTGCTTAGATAGAAGTGGGGATCCTGTTTTGTGTTTTTGAACATCCCTTTTCTCCACTCCTACTTTCTCCTCAGGTTATCAATGATGAGATATGTGAGATTTGTGAGGTTTGGACTGCTGAGAGTCTCTTCCCATGTAGGATCTGCACTAGGGTTTTTCATGATGGCTGCCTGCGCCGCATGGGCTATCTGCAAGGAGACAGCACAGTGGAAGTGACCGAGATGGCTCACACTGAAACAGGCTGGAGCTGTTACTATTGTGTGAGTTTGGTGGGGTTGTGGTCAGTTAAAAAAAGTCAGATAAAGCCAGTCATTTTACAAGAGGCTATATCATATGGAATCCTTATAGTCAGTGGCCCTACACGCTTAGAGGAGATTCAAAGGATGTCTGAGAAGAAGAAGCGAGGATGTCTGTTTCCATGATACCTGTATCGTCTAGTTTCTGGAGCACAAATAAACCCAGAAGAAAGTTTGGTAGCACCAGTGATTTCTGTCATGGTTTTTAGTCATCATAAAGCCATATCCAAACACTAAATTTTATTCAGCTGGAAAGCCCGACAGAATCTCAACAATGTTACTTTCTATATGGAATAGCTTTCTTTCATAGGTGACCTTGTGACGAAAGGCCAGTGTCTGAGTCCTAGTCAGCAATATCCCCAATAAGTAGTCATCCAGACCTTAATGAGATTCAGCCCTACATCTCCCAAGGCAGCCATTTCCATTTTCAGATTGCTCTCATTGTTAGGAAGCTTTTCTTTACTTCAAGCCTACACTGTCTCTCTATACCTCGTTATTGCTCTACTCTCTGGGGCCAAGGAGAACAAATCTAGTTTCCCTTCCATGTGATAGTCCTTCATATACTTAAAGACAGTCATACTGTTTGGCTCCCATCCCACCCCCAAATCATCTCTTCTCCAGACTAAACATAATCACTTTCTTCATTCCATCTTCATGTAACATGTGAATGTATGTTACAATATATCACAGTTTTTCACTATCCTCATCACCTGGCTGTGGACACACTACCATTTTGTCATTCCTAAAATACAGTGCCTAGAACTAAACACCATACTCCATAGGTGTGCTTTGGAGGGCAAACTACAGCAGAATTCTTTCTTCCTTAGTCCATTAGGCTCTAACAGAAGGCCACATTAGTGTTCTGGGCCATCATGTGAGATTTTTACTCAGGTTGTATTTGCAGGCCACTAAAACTCTCAGATTTCTCTCAAATGAGCTGCTGTCCAGCCATGCCTCACCTACCTTAGACTTATGGAGTTGGTTGTTGTTACTGTTTTTCTTCTTCTTTTATTTATTTTTTTTGGTAAGGCAGTTGGGGTTAAGTGACTTGCCCAGAGTCACACAGCTAGTGAGTGTTATGTGTCTGAGGCCAGATTTGAACTCAAGTCCTTCTGACTCCAGGGCTGGTGCTCTATCCACTGCACCACCTAGCTGCCCCTTTGTTGTTGTTTTTTTTTTAATGGAGTATGAAAATTCGCATTTACTCCTTTAAATTTCATCTTATTAGATTTTGCCCTATATTCCAGCCTTTCAAGATCTTTTTGAAATTTGACTCTATCATCCAGAATATTATCTATAACTGTCCAGCTTTTGTCATCTGCAAATTTGGCAACCTTATCATTGTTGCCTTTATCTCAGTCATTAATAAAATTGTCAAACAGCACCAGACCAATGACAGATCCCTAGGGCACTCTATTGAAGACCTCCTTCTAAGTTAGCATCAGATTTCTAAAAGGTAACATTTTCTTCTTCTCATCCTTTCTGTATACATGCTCTTCCTCCAGACTGGAATGCTCCCACCACCCTCCTCTCAATCTGTCTGAATACTGCCCTTCCTTTGGAGTCCACCAGAAATCTTCTGTTGAATTCTTTCCTGGTTGTTTAAGTACACACTGAGCAACTCCCTTCACTCTATTGCATTTATTATCTGCAGTACTCATTTGTCATTTTACATAGTCCTGTATTGCTATTTAACTCATAGCATGTATAAGTATAAACTCCATAACAAAGACTATATCTTATATACCTTTGTTTCTTCCCCAGTGTTCAGCACAGTATCCTGCATATAATAGGAGCTCCATAAATACTTGATAATTAATTCATCATAAATAGCAATTAATAGGCTTACTCAGGCCCTTGATTGGGCATGGAACTACAGAGATTAGAGTTAATAGTTCATTAATTCAGCAAATTCCATTAAGAGCCTACTGTGTGCAAGGAACTCCTGATAGATTCCTCCCACTTTTTTAGATTTATAACAATGATAATAATAATAACTACCATTTATATAATGCTTTAAGGCTTGCAAAGAACTTCACATATCTTACCTCATTTGAAACTGAAGCTTGGCAAAAACCCATGGGAGACATGTGCAGTTAAAAGAGTAATTATTGGGATTTGGACTCCTAAGAATACTATTTCCCCAAAGCCAATAATAATAAATAACCCCTGCTATCTCTGTAGCACTTGGACTTCCACATGTATTAACTTGTTTTATCTTCACAGCAGCCCTATCAAGTAGACACGACAAATATTTTTATCCCCACTTTACAGATGAGGAAATAGACCCAGAGAAGTTAAGCAATGTACCTAAGAGCCCACGGCTAATAAGTGGCAGAGCTGGGAGAGAAGCCAGGGCTTATGACTCATCCTGAGTGCTCTTTCCACTGCACAATGCTGCCTCCTAAGGAGACTTACCTTGTAGCCCTCCACTGTCAGTGCTTTCCCAAACAATGGCTGTGTCTGTAGAGGCAGGTTATATGCTAATAAGTGCCAAATGCCAAAAATATGCCACTTTGCTTCACGTGTAAAGATGGCAGTGGTCGCTACCTCTTTTGCAAGAGTACCTGAAAAATTCTGATGTGTGAGCAAAAGGTTCTCCACATAATTTATACCCGTAAAGATTTTTTAGTTCAAAGTTTGTAGTAATTGTCATCACTTGTAAGGACCTTTTAGATTTGGCCAACTCGAATCCTGCATCTATACACGTTCCTTACCTCATTAGTCTTGACTGACACACACTAGTCTTGCTACTATTTTGTTGTTTTGTGGAAATTTAGGGGGGTTGTTTTTTTGGTCACAGTTTTAGAAGCTATTCTTCCATAAGGTCAAAAAAATATTCCTTGTGCTTCTTACTACAAATGACCATATGAATGTTTGAGTACTGTGTTATTACCAATAGACGTGTCACACCCTCCCTCCACTCTAAGCCTTACTCCCTAACCAAACTACTTCAGTCAAGGGACTCAGATCAACCCCGGAGCAAGAAGAATATATCTTAAGCAGTACCACACACACACATGATTCTCTGGCCGTGCTGTGGAAGACCTCTGACCAAGCCACATTACCCCAAAGCCATTCAGTACTAGGCTTATTAGACTATGTGGGCTCAGATTTCTAATTATGTCAACATTGATTTCATTCACTGTGAGCTTAGCAGTGTTCCAGTTTGACTGCCCTGCTCCCATATCTCTGGACTGGGCAGACCACTAAATCTAGTTAGACTGCTTTCTTCTGCAAGAATCTCAGTCCTGAGTGAGAACCAGGGCATAGGGAGAGGAAACATATCATTCCTCTGACTAGCCCCATATATTGCTCTTGCAGCAGAAACATTTTTGCTCTGAACTTTGGTCCCAAATTCATCAGTAGCCTGTTCTGTGATCCTGTGCATGCATTTGACATTTCTCAAGGTCCTTATTTCTGAAATAGGAATTACAGTGAATTAGAAATTGTAAGAACTCAGTACCTGCTAAATCCCTTATTTTATTTATTTATTTTTGGTAAGGCAATTGGGGTTAACTGACTTGCTCAGAGTCCTACAGTTAGTGAGTGTTGTGTGACTGGTGGCAGATTTGAACTCAGGTCCTTATGACTCCAGTAAATACCTTATTTTAAAAGTGTTAAATGAATTCCTCATTTTAATTGAGGACAAAACTTCTCTTGACTCCCACTGAAGCTTAGATTCACATCTAGTACTTGATTCTAAATGGGTAAAGTTCACTATCATCATCATGGCACTTTAAGGTTTACTTTCTTTTATACTCATAACCATCCTGTGATGTAGGTAGAATACTTGTTATCCCTATTTTACTAATGAATAGATTTGATCTCAGAGAAAATAATTGACCTACCCAGAGCCATATAGGTAATAAGTTTCAGAGCTGGGATAACAACCGCTCTTGAAATGACCTGCCATTTCTACTGCTAGCACTTATTCATCTGAAGTTCCAGGGAGGGTATATTCGTAATTAACCTTCTGGGTAAGAGGCAGCTCCTGGTTTCTCCTCAACTAAACCCTACTTTTCCTCCAGATGTCAGCTACCATTCCTCCAAATCCTAACCTTTTTCCCTGGTGACATTTTTGCTGCAAGATTTTCTACTGCTGTAGGATTTCCTCTTATAATTAGGTTGAAGGTTTCCCCTTTCTACACTGAACCCCCATCTTCTGCCTCCACATTGAACTATGCATAAATTAACCACCACCATCACTCCAAGTGTCTGCAGGTTTTTGTCCCAGCATGATTTGGTACCTCATGAGACAGGTGGCTTTCTATCATCAGAAAGTTTTGCACCTGTTCCTCGATGGCATTTCTAGGCAAAATGTAGCCCTCAACCAAAGTATCTTTGGAAATTAAAGAAACAAGTCAGCATGCCAGAACATTATTAACAATTTTATGACACCTCATTTGCCTAGTTATACAGCTCTCTGTCATTTACTCCTCTAAGTACTGCAGGGGAATGATTTCGGGTGATCCAAGCAGTCAAGAGTAGAGCTAAGATTAAAACTCCCAACCAACCTTTAATCTTTTTTTCTTTCTTGCCTTTGGAGCCATAATGCCTCTGCAGCCCCTGCTAGTACTAGTGCTGTTAACTTGATCTGCAGCTCTTTCCTTTTCCTTAGAACAACCTCAACCTGCTTCTTACAGAAGAAGAGATGTACAGCCTCATGGAGAACTTCCAACAGTGCAAAATTATTCCTGGTGAGGACTGCCAAGTGGCTTCCAGAGGTTGGGAAGGACACTGGACAGGTTCTCCCAGAAGTAAAGCCATGGTTGTATAACTTAGCTAGCCCTCCTACTACTTTTATAATTGAAGTATAGTGGGGTTTCCTGTCATATCAGGAAAATAACCTGTGGTCTTTTGGGGGATAGTAGGGAACAGATAAGTTTTTTTCAGAGGTCCCTGCAAGTCTATGAATTTCCTTTTTGAATTTCTTGGCCCCCAAATAAGTGGCTTCTCCAAACACCTCCAGACCTGAGGGTTAGTATTACTTGATGGAAAAGAGAGAGACTTGTAAGTGGTTGCAGCCAGTGTATAGGACCAAAGGATAATGTTTAGAAGGGAGGGGCAGGGGGTGCCAGTTGAGGATAGATGATGAGCTAGGTCTAGAACTTGGTAAGTGTGTACAAGGAATTAGTGACCCTCAAGGCATTTTTCTCCTTACAGATTGTTCCTTGACACTGGAGGACTTCCTGCGCTACCACCATCAGGCAGCAAGGCGAGGAGGAAGTGAAAGGGCACTGAGTGAAGAGCAGGAAGAGAGGGCAGTTCAACAATTTGCTGCCCTTGACCCTGAGCGCAGGGGCCATGTTGAGTGGCCTGACTTCTTGTCGCATGAGTCCCTCCAACTACTACAGAAACTCCGTCCACAGGTGTGGCAGGGGTGGCTGACCCTGGGACATTAGATGGAAAAGGGGATTGGGAAATTGGAGGTTAAGGAGGCAAGAAAGCAATAGTTCTTGAACTATTTGTGGCAATGACTTGAGAGAAACAAGAACATAAGAATCATCAGGAGTGAAGATGGGATTTAGGGCTTTTTCTAGTGACTAATATAACCAAGTATCCAGTGTACCCTAATTAGATAGGGCAAAGGAATCGAGGTAGTGAGATCATGGAGGCTAATTTACTTTTGGTTACACTAAAAACCTCAAGACTCCAAAATATATAGAACCTGGAGACCTTAGGATTGTAGGATTTATAGCTGGAAAGGCCTTAGATGTCATCTAGGCCAACCACCTCATTTTACAGGTGAGGAATCTGAGACCCAGATTGCTTAGGACTTGTTCAAGGTCATACAGATCATAAGTACCAAAGGTGAGATTTGGAAAGCCCTACTGTCAGCAGAAAGTGTCTATAGTACTCTTTGATTCCCATATCCTTCTTCCTTAAGAACTCTCTATTAAGGTTACTGACAGTTAAGGAGCGAGAACAGGCTCGAACAGCCTTCCTAGCCCGAGGCGTTGGGGGTTATATCAGTGAGACTGAATGCCATCGTGCCCAACACACCTGGTTCCGAAAACGACCCTTGGAGGCATCATCTTGCAACGTTAGGTATGCTTTATCTTCATTCTTACTTTCCCTCTCAAAATCCACTTCCCAGAATCTCTTCTGATATCCCAGTAATTGCCTTATCATTTGTAACCAATCCAGGAAAGCACCTCAGCTCCTTTACTACTGTTTGCCACCATCCCACAAATACAAAGAATAGAATGATTCCTAGAGTCCAGGGCAGTCATTGCTAAGAGCTCCCAGAAGGCAAAGGATAATATACATCAACTCATAGGGGCTCTGGGATAGGACCAAACCCCTTGATCTTGTCCATCCCAACCACATGTCCCTGTGCCACACAGTATCAGCCATGTGGGACCCATGTCAGAAAACAGCCCGGCCAGCCACAGCAGTGCCAAGAGCCCAGAGAAACCTTTGCAGACAGCTGAACAGGAGGAACCCAGGTGAGATATCCCCAAAGGTGTCACCCCATCCTTGACAAGAGCCATCATTTCTACATTCCACAGAGTACCGTCATTTCCATTGATTGACCTTAGTCCTTCACATATGAGATGGCCAAGAAGAAAACCTGCTCCCCAGAAATTGAGTTCTTGACAAACTTGTGAGGTCTCTTGGGGTATTGTTACAATTAGAGCATACTCTGTACCAGGCTCTGTACTAAGTGCTGGGACTACAAAAAGAGGCAAAAGACAATCTCTCCTTTTATGGGGGAGACAACGTGCAAACAAATATATACAAATCCAGCTATATAAAGAAGAAATAGGAAATAACAAAGGCAAGGCACTAGAATTAAGAGGGGTTGGGGAAGGCTTCCAGTAAAAGATGGAATTTTAGTTGTGACTTAAAGGAAGCCAGAGAAGTCAGAGGGCAGAGATGAGATGGAAGAATATTCCAGGCATGGGAACAGCAGAGAAAATACTTAGAGCCAAGAGAAGAGGGTCTTTTTCATGGAACAGCCAGGAGTCTAGTGTCGCTGGATCAAAGTACTTAGGTGGGGAAGAGGGGTGGGTAAGGTATAAGAAGACTGGAAAGGTAAGGGGAGCTAGGTTTTGATGGTTTTTGAATGCCAAAGAGAGCATTTTGTGTTTGTTACTGAAGGCAATAGGGAGCCACTGGAGTTTGAGTGACATGGTAGGGGAGGTGATATAATCAGACTTGAGCTTTGGGAAAATCATGTAGTCACTGGGAGAATGGATTAGAGTGGAAAGTACTTGAGTCAAATAGCCCCACCAGCAGGTTATTGTAGGCATGAGGTGATAAGGGCCTGCACCAGAGTGGTGGCAGTGTCAGAGAAGGGGCCATATTTGAGAGATGTTACGTGGGAAATCCACAGGCCTTGGAAACAGACTGGACATGGGGGATAAGAGAGAGTGAGAAGTCCAGGATGACTCTTAGGTTGACAGCCTGGGAGGAGTGTTTCCCTCTACAGTAATAAAGAAGATTAGGAGGGAGGGTGTGGAGGAAAAATAGTGAGTTCCATTTTGGATTTGTTGAGTTTAACATCTCTACTAGACATTCAGTTTGAGTTGTCTGAAAAGTTGTTGGAAATGGGAGATTAGAAGTCCGTAGAAAATTTGGGCAGAACAGGTAGATTTGAGAATCATCAGCATGGAGATGGTAATGAAATCCATGAGAGCTGATGAGTTCACCAAATGAAGTAATATAGAGGGAGAAGAAAAGAGGGGACAGACCCTGAGGGACACCTGTGGTTAGAGGGCATGATCTGGAAGAGAATCAGGAGCAGTCATTTAAATAGGAGGACCAAGAGAGAGTAGTGTCCCAAAAACCTAGAGAAAAAAAATATCCAGAAGAAGAAGCTTCAGAGATGTCAAGGAGATTATTGGTAACTGGAAAAAAAGACGTTTTGGTGGAATGATAAGATCAGAAGCCAGATTATAAGAGGTTAAGAATGGAGTGAGAGGAGACACAGTTGGAGGCACCTGTTGTAGACAGCCTTTTCAAGGAGTTTAGCCACAAAGGGCAGAAGAAAAACAGGATGATAGCAGGGGTGGAAGGACCAAGTGAAGGTTTTTTTCAGGATAGAGGGAAACATGGACATGTTTGTAGGCGGTAGGGAATAAACCAGTAGACAGGTTGAACAAGAGAGGAGAAAATCTTTGAAGGAGATGGTTGAAGTGGGATCTCTTGAACAAGTAGAGGGGCTAGCCTTTGTAAGGAGGAAGGCCACTTCATGATGTGAGATGGGGTAAAGGAGGGGAGAGTGGCAGAAGGCACCAGACCAATAGGAGATGAGGAAGAGGGAGTTGATGGTAAATGCCCTCAATTTTTTCTGTAATATATAAGGTAAGATTCTCAGCCTTAGGGTGGGGAGAGAAGGAGCCATGGGAGGTTTGAGGAGGGATGAAAAGGTTTGGAAGAGCCACTGTGGAGAATGAGATAGTAAGTTGATAAGGGAGGTACAGCAGGATTGCCTAGCCACAGTGAGGGCTCAGGTGAGGTTGTGTGACATAAATTTGTAGTGGACTAGTAAGAATAGTTGTGTGATTTTCTCCATCTTTGTTCAACAGTTCACATGTAGGAGCAAAGGCAGCCAATGGTGGCATAGGGTTCTTGTCACAACTGTTAGCTCTTCACCCAGCTGTAGCCACTTCATTCATGGTCATCTAAGCTCACACCCCAGCCTATAGTAATTGAATTGTCTCATCCTATTTCAGTGTAATGAGACATGCTTCACCTTCTGTTTTCTCACTCACACTGTAGGTCTGTGGATTGGCCCACCTTCCTGAAGGAGAATGTCATCTACATCCTTGCTGCTCGCCCCAACAGTGCTGCCATTCACCTGAAACCCCTGGGGTAGAGTCTCTAGAAGTAGGAGTAGCCCCTGCCCAGCCATGGCTGGGGCAACGTGGGGTCACCTCCTTCCCCAGCCCCTGACACTGAAAAAGACTGGGAGAAGGGAGACCTCCAGCATCCTTGTTCCTAAGCTTTGCCACAGGGGATCTAGATGACGTCTCCTTTCATAGGAAGGGTAGCAAGTACTTTGCCTAAGGGAGAGGTTCTGGGAGAAGAGGCAATATTCGCTATACCCCTTAACAGCTCTGTCTCTAGCAAAAAAAAAAAAAAAAGATTCTCTCCCCCACTGTTCTTTCCTCATCTCAACCAGTGTCACTAATGGGATAACTCAAGATCCTTTATCCCTCTAAACTTGTAGAAGTTTGATTTCTAATTGGTTGAGAAGGGACCAAACTTCATTGATATCCTAGGTCATTATAGCTGAAAGAGACCTTGGTGGTCACTTAGTCCAACTCTGTCATTTTAAAGAGGTCCAGAGAAGTTTTGACTTGCCTAAGGTCACACAGTGAGTGCGTGGCAGAACCAGAAGTAAAAGCCAGGTCTCTTGACTCCTAGTCCTGTCCCTGTACAAAAACTCCCTAGATTTGTCCTGAGGCGAGGTGGCCGGGGCGGGGGATGCGTACTTCTTCCACAGTTAGCCAGACTTGATTTCTGATTGACCAGAAAGGACCATAGTCCCTTACATCCATAATTTTTTTGCTGAGGTAAAAGCAGCCCACCACACCTACCCTTTACTAACCTGTCAACTGCTGAGTAGAGACAGGAAAACAATGTCCTCCCCAGAATTCCAGTAACTTTGGCTGAAATAAATCTCATCCAAAGTTAGTTGAATTCTGATGAGCTTTGCAAATGAAACTGGTAACCTTAGATGAGGCTGTACCTAAGATGTCACTGTATTGGAAGTGAACAAAGTAGATTCCAGTTCTGGTTTCCTGGAACCAAAGGTCTGATTTGGTGGACAGTATAGAAAACTAGCCCCACTTGCATTTCAGAGGACCCTACTAGGTGTTATTCACATTCTGCTCTCTCAATCTCAACCAGTTCCTATAGACAAAGTAATTAATATCTCATCATTGTGGAGAATAAAGAAGTCTTCCTTAGCATCTCCAGGAAGGGAAAAGGAATTCTTCTAGATAATTAGTACCACAGGTGATCTTCCATACCACTTGTAGAATATGAAACATACTGGGAGAGAAGAGGTTTCAGAATTCAAAGAGGACTTGGGGCTACCCTGTCTTCTGAGTTACAAAGCTTTTTCTAGGGTTTGGGGGCTAATGGAGTAGGCAATGACTCAGAGAGAGGAAGGTAGCCCCACCTCTCACTCACAAAAGTCTTAGGATTGCCCTTCCCACATATTCCCATTAGGCTAGGTATTACCATTTTGTGACTTCTTTTCCCCTTCAGATCTACTCTAGATGTTATAATTTATCAGTATAGAACTGGGGTCAGCATGAGGAGCTACATAGTATGGATTGCCTGAATGTTTATCCCCCGGGGGTCCAGTGAGACAGAGGAAGGTGCGTGGTATGCATGTCTAGTACTCCTTTGACTTCAAGATCTGGCCTGGCTTAGGAAAGCTCCTGTGCATAGTCCTTAGTGAACTAAGGTACAGATAAGAACCACTGAAGACACTGTGGCTTGTCCCCATGCCCCAGCATTGTGCATGCTGGTCTTTAGGGAGAGGAATCTTCTTCATCTTCCCAAATTGCTCTCTATAGCTATTAAATAAGGAAACTCCAACTCTTATTCAATGCCTTAGTTTCTCTGCCTATAAAATTTGGAGAGGAATGAGCTCTGTCATATGAAAGTCAAGTTTTCCCTAGGAGAGGTTTCTTGGCAACCTCCTATCAATCAAATGGAGAAACAGGACCCAATGTTTTTGACGGACTTTGAGATCCTCAGCATCATTGACAATGAGCTGAGCTCAGAATTGAACAGGAGGAGGAGAATGGGCTGGATTGCCTTTGTGAAATTGCACAGTGCTTTTAATGACTCCAAATTTCTCATTAAAACAAAGGCTCATCTTTTTTAACATTCTTCTTCCAATGGTGTCTGTTGTATGGCTTCAAGTCATGGGATACCACAGTCTCTGAAGAATTATAATTACCCAAAAGGCAATAGAGTGGCATAGGGTGGGTGTGAGTAGAGTGCAACATGTAAGCAACCAAGAAAAACAGTATAATAAAGGATATCATCAGATGTATAATTAGAAAAGAAGATGGATTTGTCATGACCACTACAAAGACAAGAACTCAGTTGGCATCCATGCAGTATCAAAAGAACGAGAAGTCCTCCAGCACATTGGGTGGACCCCTTGTAGAGGATTTATGGGAAAATATGGATGAGAAGTGCACAATATTAGAGGGCATGAATAGGTTTCTACCTGAATTATTGGAGAGAGTATCCACATTGATAAGATCACAGATCCAGTGAAATACTGAGATTCTCAAAGGAATGTCACAGTACATGCAATGAAGTCGTGGAAATTTGTGGTCCACAAAACTAAGGAATCCACTTGAAGAAATAATGAAAGTTGTTTGAGTATTTAAACCTGAATTCAACCCAAGATCAGAGTGGGACCACTTTTATGGTTCTGAGAGTTTCACAAGCTGTAGCTACTTGCAAAGTTTCTTCTACTGTGCTCAAAATATTGACTGATGCTAGAGGTTATGGTCATTCTCACCAAAAAAGGAAAAAGAAAGTAAGCCACCTTTTCTCACTCATTCATGATGGCATCAAGGACGTTGCATTCCATCATAAGTTCTTGTCCCAAGAAGCACTTGTACTCTCTCACTGCATGTCAAGTCAGAGGCCTAGGTGATCCCTTGAGAACAGTTTTCTTGAAGATCTGGCTTCCACAGGGTAAATCCAGGAGGCACACACTTTATGCTTCAAGAAATTAAGGGATCTCATGTTCTGCACTCAAGCAACTTAATGGCCTTCATTAACTACCAGGATTATGATTCTAGGCTCTTGTTCATTTATCCTGCTTAGATGAAAATTGATGCCAAAAAAAGTTGCTCCCTGGTCACAGTCCTATGTCTTCAGTATGTGAGAAACACTCTGTGAGACAGGTTTTGCGAGGTAGGCACATCCTGGGGCCATCCAAGCAGAACTAGTTATTTGGTGTACTGAACTGTTGCTCCTTTCACTTGGTGCTCAGGTGAGGCTTAGGTGAGTTCCTCTTCCCCTTCTCAAGGGAAATATGGGAAGGCATTAATTCTTTTCCCTCTAAGTAGGGGGGTTGAGGCACAGAAGAATATCATAGAAGTGGATCTTTATTTGGGAACCAGATTCCCTATATTGGAAGGAAACTTGAAATGTCCATCCTTCTTGCCTCTAGGCAGGACTAGACGGTGGATAGCTCTCCCATTTTTCAAAAACACATGTCATTAGCTAGTGAGGGAGATTCCAAAGTAATTACCTTAATAATCCAGTGTTCAAGATCCTTGGTCATAAATTCTCCTCAGCCTAAGTCCTGTGTTCTGCAATTTGTTTCTTCCTGGTGTCTCACTGGGGAGTTGTATAATAAACTGTCCCTTTCCTTCTGTAAAAATTCTTGTAATATTCAAACACCCCAATATATTCTTAACAAAATAATCCCCATTTAATTTAACTTTTCCGCCTAGGTCATCCTAAGACCTTTCAGTTATGATATTAGTCTAAATTCTCTCAAGACTCAACATAGATATCCTCCCCTAGTAAAGGACCTCACTTTCTTCTCATTGACTTCAGCAATAAGATCCTAATGCCTCTCTCCCCACCTTTTTCCTTCTCCTGAGGGGAGGCATTTACTATACATCAAATATCTTTGGAGAAGACTACTTATCCTAAAATTGCTCATCACCCATCAGGCTGCCTCTTTAAAACCAGATTAAAATTGTGCAGTCCCCTTCCACTACGTTGTATGGGAAGGTAAAGGATGAGGTAGAAGAATGCATGCCACAAAGAAGCAACTGCTGCCACTCACAGTGAGGACTGCACTTTTGAGCCATTCCTCTTTCCCCTGTGGCCTTCTTGCCTGCCTGTTTTCCTTTAACATTGAGGAACAGGTTCCAGATAATTATCTAGACACACTTAAAGCTAATCCTGGGTTCTTGAGTAGTATAAAGGAGAAAGAGGCCTCATCCCCTAGACACCGAAATCACTCTCAAGGGTTCATCTCTATTTTGATTCCAGCTCCACACAAAAGTATTTTGCCAGTGGGAATGATAAGCACACACACAAATACACTGCCTTCTCCCCCTACCCAATGTCACTGTGACTGAAGGTGGTGAATGATTTCTGTTCAAATCTACTTGTCTTGCTAAGCTCCTGATATCCAAGCTTTGAGGGCATCTGAATGGAATGGCAAAAGGCCTAGAACCTTTTATCCTTTGTAGGAGTGACCACTATGAAACCCTTCTCACCCTAAGCCCTTGCTTTTTTTATAACTGGAAGCACAGCACAGTCTGTACTGCCTACTGGGATGTACCACCTTAGAAAAGGAGGTCTTACTTGGGAAAGCCCTGGAATCTCCAGTCAGACCTGTTATGATCATCCCAGCACCAGTGTGAATGAACTGGGATGTCGGAACATTAGCCAGCAAGGAGAGATGGAAGCTTAGTAGGAATTGACTAGGAAAGCAACAGGCACTAGGAGTCCCCTCCATCCTCAGGCAGAAGCACCATAGCAGGTGGCTCAGGAATGCTAAGGCTTTCTCCACCCAGAATTCTTAGTGGGGGACTGTGACCCTGCAAAACCAAAGTGTGCTCTTCAGCTGGTGGCTTGTAATGTCAAGTGTGCAGATACTGCAGTTAAGAGGCTGAGCAGCCCTGACTCTAGAATTTCAGGAGACACCGTCAGCCAGCATGAAGCCACAGCCAGAGCCACTTGCTGCCTGGCTTACAGTTGAATCAATCAGCTGCTGCCTTTTGCACGCCATTTACTGTGTAATCACTTAGGATCTCGGAGCTTCTGGGGAATAAGTACGTTATTGTGTGCTTGCTGCAGCTCAGTGAACTGAGAGTTTCTCATCATCAGACTGTTCATGACAGTTCAGCCCCTCAGGAACAGTGTCCTACATTTGATCCAGCCATACCATTATCATTCTTTTCCCCCCAGTAGCCCTTGGATTGAACCATGGTTTTTAAAGAAAGAAAAATGAAGACCAGAGTCATTCCCTCTGTGCCATATTTCTTTCATGATCCAGTGTGGCCGAATAATGTCATTCTCCCCCTGTACTTTTTGAAGTGGGTCCTATTGTCTGATCCAGGTATATATTACTGTTTCATATTGGGGGATGTATGCTCCAACCTGGTAAGGAGTGTGTGTAGGGAGTTGGAACTGGCCTTAAGTGGTCACTTACCACCACAGCTCTCTAAAGTTCTATAACCCTTGGCATTGGGTTGCCATACCCTTTCACAAATAATAGCAGTGGGGCACAGAAAACAAAAGGAACTTTTCAAGATTCCTAAAGCAAAGATATGGTTGAGGATAGAACTGAGGT